GAAATAAAATGAGTTTGCGCAGACCTCTGCGCATAGTCCCAGTTCACTGATCTCTGTCTAGACATAGTTCGTGGACGTTTGGGGTCTCTCCACCATAACATCAAGACCAGAAATGAACAGAGAGTGAGAGAGCAGGCAACCAGGACGAAATCAACTCGATAAAGAAGGCTTCTTGATATTTCGATGTACACTTTAATCCAACCTATGTTGTAGGAACAAAGGGCACGCGTGATTTCCACTAACGCTACTACCGACATCTCCATCTGACAAGGAATATTTAAGAGATATCGTTTAAGAACATTAATTGCTCAGCACATTCATAACCCACCCAATGCTGCGGTGATGAGGACGGGCGACATCAATGGTTAGAGACATTGTCAGACATGGCCAAGTTGCGCCGTCAATGGCGCTCATGTATCCGAACTATTGCCTTCAATGCATAGCTCCCTTCCCATTCCCTCCACTCAACAGTCTACCGACAGTGCCGTATGTACGCACCAATTTACCCAACCCCCTCAAATCATCGGTGAACGAAACTGTGGCAACTACAACCCCTGTAGGACAAGTACGCACTTTTTACAACTGATACTGATGAGGATAATGACGTGAAGCTCGACAAGTACCACCCTCCACAATCACTCGCAGCCACACTGTCTGAATCCGCACTTATAACGCATATTTTAGTCTGCAGGACCAGGAAACGTTCGGAAATCAAAAGATAAGGTTTTGGAAACCGAATAATAACTTTCTACTTTCCACAAAGTGTCCGAATTGCTGTAAGTCAGATGAAGCTATATCCATGAAATTCAGTTTCTACGCATACGAAGCAAGTGCGGGGTGAGGCAGAATGATGATATTGTCAGATATTCAGTCCTGCACACACGTTTTTCATATTCCTTCGCAGCAGAAATTGACCACTGTAATGGACAGCGACAAAAGCTGTGGGAATAAACGGAGAATATTAGAAGAACTGTCATGAAATCTGTCAGATTACAAAATGTTTTTGGTCTAATTATACTCTTTTCGCGGTGTAGTGCTAGATTACGTGTCAGATGATAGCTGGAAACAGCAAAAAATCATAGTTGATTTCACCACAAGCCATTGTAACCCAAATTTCATCTAGAGCTCTCAAGAAAATCCAGTCTTAAAAAGGATGGCGTAGATATGGAAGTTCTGCAATCGACTACTTGACTATGTTCAGGAACAGTATGAACACTTACAGTCTATTCATAAGTCAAATGAAATAAAGCAACACCTACGTTAGGTTACTAAAATGTCACTTATTAGCGTTTCTAAAGTGGGGCACAAAACTGACTACAAAACGATAAACGGTAAACCAGTGAATCAGCCCGTGAAGGTGCCCACGAGTGCTTCGGTGATATGCGCCTTTCGATTCTGCGACACCTTGGTAGTTTTCTTCTTCTCAATCACAAGTACATGTCCCTCCCTTTTGTTGGCCTCTTGTTCACAAGAGACGTAGACCTGGCACCAGACTTTAATGAAATTGACATGGTTTCTATAGCCGTCTCTGCAGACTCCGCGTTGCGCAATTCTGTGTTCCGGGTTGACTCAGGCACAAAGGAACATCCCTCTAATTACACCCAAAATTATTACACCGCATTACTCAGATATGGGTACTTTACAAGGGACAAAGTAAGTTAATAGTGCTTTTGTGGTCGGCGAAATGTAACAGTTCTGTTGGAGTTTTTCAGTCCGTCAGTTTTCCATTCGTCTTGGTCAAATATCTTAGTCTTGGCAATTAAAATCGTTCAGCTTTGGTGCTCTTTCGGTGCCTAGCTGACGTGCCGCACGGAGGAGGCACCTGGGCTGGGATACTGCCAGGTCGTCCAAGCCTAGATAAAGGAAGTCGAGAAGCAGAGGTCGGGTTTGAACCACGGACCTTCCGGTCAGTATAACCGCGCTCTAACCACTTGGTCCATCTCGCCCCATAAAAAGGTGAGGTAAACAAACTAGTTGGTTTTTGGGACAGGTATGTTGCATCAACGGCGCAGGCCACGAGTGCAAGATCTGATATTCCAACGCCACGCAAAATGATTGTGACTGCGCACATGCTTACCTACGGTAAGCTCATTAGCGCTGCACTTTTTACAAATTTTTCTCTCTGAAGTGCATTTTCCCTGTTGCCAATGATTTCACTGAATCTTTGACCTCTGTGATGAGAACTATCTGGCTGAGCACCGTGCATGCAAAAGCGGTCGAAATGTCAATATTTTTCATTCTGTGTCTACGAATACATCAAGATGTTTCCTACTGCTGGTTAATATCCGATGCAACCTGATTCGGACGAGAGTTAGAAGCGCTCGGTATAGTCATGTTGGCCAGAAACTGTGGCCAAGCGGAGAGTTGGTGCTGGGCTTGCTGGATCACACATGATGCTGGATGTGCTTGCCATAACCAGGTTACAAGGGAACTAGCAAGATGTCTCCGTCGCCTTAAATACACCGTCTTCGAGGAGTTGACAGCACCTACTTCGACGGCCTTCATCAAACCTGACCTAATCGCCTTTCGGAGCAACTGTAATAGATGTCAACATAATCTCGGATGGGCGCGGAGTGGCTGTGTGGGATGAGAAGAAGCACAACTATGATGCTGATGAATATTCCCTCGCCATAATGAGCCCTACACGCAATCGGTTTTGATGTCAATTTTTTGGTTCGCCAGCTAATGATCACTTCTTATCGAGGGATCTGCTTTCCCCAATTTTCAAGGCTGTTAGTAGACTGGAACTTCCCAAGTTCACAGTGAGCGACTTGTGTGGGCTCTCTTCACGCTTACGGCACTTTTATGCATGGTGCATGGCGCTGAGTGTACATTTTTGCCATTTAACCTTACACCAAAGCCAGTATGACGGACAGTTTGGAACTAATGTGCGAGTCTTGACTGTGCTAGCGTTTACCGCGCCTTGAAGAGCATTCAGCACTGTTTGTTCTTTCTCCGGTTGTTGGTCTTTACGCGCGTGTTTCCACGCCAAACATTCATTAATACATTGGGATTCATCTCATCTGACTGAAACTGTTGAGGGCACGCCCTCGAATGTGAAACTTCACTCTTTTTCTCTAATATTCTCTTGTAACCCTTCCGCATCAGTTGCTTGCATTTACTTTTTGTGTCTGTGACCATGCTGTTCAAAAATAAATAAAAATAATAGGTAATGGAAATAGACTATTTTCATTCCTAATTTTCATGTCTTCATATCTTTTAAAAAAAGATAAAAGGCCTTTTTTCCTTTTTATCAGAGGCAACTAAGACAAGACAAGTAAGACATATTTGACTGATGAATAAGACATTTGAAATTGGGCAAATATTTCATATAATGTACTGATGATGGGAAGGATAGAGACCTCGACGTTTCACTTTTCCTGTTTCACTATGATAAGATATCCAAATATCACGTAAAGGCTCCTTCAGGCAACTCGAAAAGTACAACGGTTTTAGTGCTTGGAAGCTACTTGTAAGGGTCCGATATCATAAAATGTAGTTAAATTAAGCTGCTTTGTTGTGCTTTCGGATCCAACTTAGTTGCTCGAAATACAACACCAAGACACGAGAAAGGCAAGTGATGAGGGAGATCAAACGACTGTCCAAACACTTTAATACTGGAACACCCCGTCGGGTTGGAGAAAAGTCTGTTTTCCATCTACCAAGCACGGTTAGTTGAGACATGTTAAAACCCAGTCGATCCTAGCTTGTGGACCGCTTTCATAGCATGAGGCATGCAGTTTATATTTCACCTTATAAACGAGGTTAGGTTGTGAACAGCAGGCCATTTCTGGGCCGGTTAACTTCGGCCCGGAATCGTCTGGCAGCTTATGTTTTAGGGATCTTGGGTGACGTGGATCCGAACAGTCCTAGTAACGTAGGTGTATCAGACCGGAATGGCTTTGCGTGTCACTGATCGGCAATCTTTTAAACGTTAAGTAAGCAGGACGTGTTCTCCCCTGTGTTCCAAGTAGGAAACTCGAATCTCATGGTCCGGTAGTGAAAGGGCTTGTTACGGACATGTGCAAGGTGTTAGGCACTTTAGTTCATAAGCAGGTTGCGGTATATGAATGTATAGAAATATTTATAATTATATGGCTGTGAGAGGTTAAAAGCCTCGCATCTATTACTCAATCACGGCACAAAAGCCTTGTTACTCACGTGAACCGGCTGAGATGTACTCACCTCCAACGCAAGAACTCCAAACGAACCCAGAATTATAAAGTTCAGCAATGGTATTGTTTTGTTGTACAGTCTCGACTTGCAGCCAACTCTAATATTACTGTTTGAACTATTAAACACTTGTGGGCAGCTGTCAGCACTTTGTCCAATGTTGTTTCTCTTACAGCAGGGAAGTGGGTACCGAATATCTATAAGTGCAAACAGTACGGAAAATTCTGCATTTGCAGATGAACTCATCGGTAGAATGTGTGAGCAATTGGGGGGGGGGGAAGTCGCATGTAACATAATATTTCTAGAATATTAAAGCAAGGTTAAACTAGCTTTCGCGCATTTATTTCCATTGTTTTTTTTTCTAAATTGATGGGACCCCATTCCAATATGAAACTGTGGGAACCCAAAACACTGGTGTTTCATTCAAGATGTTTTAAAGATAATGGCGAGAAAACGTCAGGGTCGCTCTCATCTGCTTTCCCAGTAAATACGTAGTCACTTCATTTGCTGGATTTCGATCCAAAAAACGGGGCAAAAATATCATTTTCAGACAAAATGTAGCCAAAAGCCTGCGTCAATCTGCATGGTGAGAAAACCTGAACAAAATATTGTCAGATACCGTGACTCCTAAAACAGTTGCCTTCATACGCTTCTGGATCTGGCTGTCTTTAAAAAAAGAAAGCAGACACCAGTTATCGAAAGCTAGTTAGGGTTGTAACTGTTGTCTGTTTTGAAATCACACGTCGTGTTTTTGTTTCCCACTTCTCTCTTATTATCTACACATCCACTCGTAGATTAAGGGGTGGACAGATCTGAAAACCAGCTCCCTGACTTGCGTAAAAAGTGTTCTGTCAAGCAAACAGTAACTGTTTTGACAGTGACCCTGAGGATCGGCTACATAGTACCATCCACAAACAACGCCTCTCAACACTTGGACTAATAAACTTACCCAGGTCAAGATACAAGAATTTTCAACCCGCTAATCACGGCCAGTGGTCAGATACTTAACCGTTAGACCAGCAGTGGCGAATCCCACGCAAAACAGGACAAATATCTCTCATTGTTAGAACGCCGAATCCATGTTTCGAGGTTAGGTATCGACTGGCCGCCGACTTCCCTGAAAGAAGGCTTAACCATAGTTTGCCATGCTTTTTGAACCTTCTTCTTGTTCATTTGTCATTGAACTTAAAGCGATTATTCTGCTCTTTTTTGCATCCTGCGGCGGACAGCAGTAGTGTGAACTATGCTACGATGACCAATGTTACATTTCATCACAAATTTGTTACCAAAATAATGTTACATTTCATCACAAATTTGTTACCGAAACCAGCATGTTTCTTATAGGCGGCCACAGGCTTCTCGGTTGTCATAACGCTCGCCTTCTCGTTTTCTCCTCCACGATAGATCATACATCACAGAACTCTGTGAAAAGAAAACACCAACCAGCTACGACACACGATACGTATCACCGTTTCTCCGTTCGCTACCATCAAGACCTTCTTGGGCATTGCAAAAAAAGAGACCAGAGTTAGAAGTTCTTTTCCGTTACCTGGAATAGTGAATCGTAAGAATTGTCGAAAGGTT